AAAAAGTATTGCGAATTTTGAATTTCCGCGGGTTACATATATTCGATTTTCGATTTTTTTGTGGCGTTATGTTGGTACTCATATCTCTCACCTATACCGACAAGGCCATGTTGAATGTTCAGTTAATTTTTAACAGCCGTTTTGCTTGAACGTGTTTTGGCTCGTCTTCGATTTTTGCCTAATCCAAAAAATAAGATTAAAGAATCTGTATCAAATTTTGTGGGAAAAACAAAATTAAGTGCGAGGGCGCATTGCAATGGTCCGAAGCAATTTTATCGGTGGTACCAAATATTCTTAGAGGGCCGAGAAGAACGAAGAACAACGAACAACGAAGACCGCACGTCAACAACAGACGAAAACATCGATGAAGTGAAGAAAATAATATTGGTCAATCATCGAATCGTCGTTAGAAAAATTGCTGAGGACCTAAACATATCGATTCGCTCTTGCCATTCGATTTTGACCAATGATTTGGGCATGAGACAGGTCGCTGCGAAATTCGTACCATAATTGCTCAATTTCGACCAAAAACCACATCGCATTAACATTGCTAAGGAGCTGCTCGACTCTATCCGCGACGACCCAAATTTGCTCCAGAGGGTTATAACCGGTGACGAATCATGGGTTTATGGTTATGACATGGAAATCAAAGCTCAATCATCCCAAATGAAGCTGCCGTACGAGCCAAGACCAAAAAAAGCGCGCCAAGTTAGGTCGAATGTGAAGTTATCCGCCAGAACCGCCGGATTCGTGGAAGAACATAAATTGATAACGCCCCTGTTCACACATTGTTGGTTGTTCGCGAATTTTTGACCAAAAACAACACACTAACAATGCCGCAGCCACCGTATTCCCCAGATATGACTCCCTGTAACTTTTTGTTGTTCCAGAAACTGAAGAGGCCTATGAAAGGACGACGCTACGCTACCATTGAGAAGATAAAGACGTCACAAGATCACAGAAAATAATTTTTTGAAGTGTTTCGAGGATTCGAAAAAGTGTTGGCACAAGTGTATAATATCTGGAGGCGATACTTCGAAGGATACAAAATAGATATTCATGAAGAAATAGTAATTTTTGAAAAAACACAAAATACTTTTTGACAGACCTCGTATACCTAGGAAGCAAGTAAAGGTACAAGGATGAGAGAAAATAACAGATAAGCGAGAAGAATAAAAAAGTATAGTTTATAAAATTCATATGTAAGGCAGGTATAGAACAGCTAAATGTAATAGTCCACCTTTTAATAAAGCTTTCTATCTAATATTAGAAATATACCCTTATTTTTTGAATCCGATTATAAAATTATGCCCATTTGTCTGTATCGTTTTCATAGTC